AATCCGCCAACACCTTGGTTTAGGCTGCGCTAGTTGGAGATCATGAATTCGAGGAACCCAATTGATAGAAAATATGGGAAATAACTTGCTGTGATGTTATTTTAAAATGTTCTATGTATTTTTGATTTGTAAGTAAATATCACGGATATCTAGGAAACATTATTCGTCATGAAGAGTAAATCCCCAAGTTTATGCGTATAGGTTGAGAATCACCCTGTATAGCTTTTTTTCCACTCAGTCAACAAAGGCCAACAAATATTGTTTCGCGTCTCATAATTGTGCAGGTCAGCATGCCTGCAATATCTGTTTCTGTTGTTGTAAATGTATAAAAGACATTCCAAAATAAACACAGATGGTACTGTCAAAACTTTCAGCTATCTGAAGACGTGACGACAATCATCTCTATAGCTCAGCTTTGAAATGATCCTCAAAGCTCTGCGCTGTAGACCAAATATGTGGGAGCTAGCTGTGCTTCCCCCCCAAGCAATTATACAATAACTTATAATTGAGTGAATCAATGCGAGATGGGTGGTCCTGGCTACCTTAGCAGACACCGAAACAACCAATCTGCGCAATAAGAAAATGTTTCGGGCTATCTTTTTCCCTATCTCCGTCGTGTGAGCCACAAAATTCAAATCCAGAGAACTCAGCGTTAACCCCAGAAATTTAATGGAGGAAAATTCCTTTAGATGATGGTGTCTGAGACTGAGACATTTGCTGCCATCAGTAACCCGCTCGAAGAAGACAACACTTCCTCATACTCATCACCACTTCCCAGCAGCGTTGCGTCATCCGCATATAACAAACATTTCACATCCCCGCCCAAATACCTTGGAAAATCATTAAAAAAAGAGAATAACCAAAATTGATTCCTCAGGGCGCCCCTTGTAATAGGAAAACGCTCAGAGTGGCAGTCTCCGCATCGGTATAGTGATAAAACAAACTAACTTTGTTACTCCACAAACTGATCCTGCATATAATCAGACCATACATAATAGGTTTTCTTGACCACATTAGACTTCACGCATTTTTTGAAGTGTCCTCGTTCCATAGTTTTCATTTCTTCTGGCAGCTTGTTGAAAAGTTTAACTCCCCAGAAATCAGCATATCTTTTAGTTGCTTCTATTCTATGAAACGGTAATCACAGTTCATCTTTGCCTCTTGTGTGTGAAAGTTTGCATTCGCATTAAATTTATTTCTATTGTCATAAACATACATCAAGGTAGCCAAAATGTATGCACTTGGTACGGTAAGTATACATTCTGTTTTAAATACATCTTTGCAGCTGTCAGTAGTTTTAATATTGCATAAAGCACTCACCGCCTTCTTCTGCAAACCAAAAATTCTTCCTAAGCCAGGTGAATGACCCCAAACAACTATGCCATATGTTGCAACAGCATGCAAATTTGCAAAATAGACTAATTTGGCCACTTCATGAGATGCAATTTTGCTGAAACATCTAATTGTAAAAATTGCTGATGTTAATTGTTTATTTATGATATCAGTATGTGGATTTCATGTTCACTTGGGATCAAGAGATAAACCCAAGAACATCACCGCGGGTAAGTTTGACGGTAATTTCATATTAATGACAATTGATTCTGTTTTATTTTCATTTACCTTCAGCTAACCGTGCACGATATGACAATCTGGCCTTAACTTACATTTCTAACTTCTTACTTTTGATTGATTCCACAAAATGCGTATAATCTCTAACACTTGCTTTTTCTGTAAAAGAAGACAGAATCTTTGCAAGGTGTTTCACCAGCTGATACGTTGGAGAAGAAAGCTCAAAACTTCTGCTACATTCAGTCACAACAACAATCAGATCCCATGTATTACCCAAAATTACCCTCCTAGTTTTCCTGCAAAGCAGAATACGGACCTAGCATAGTAGATGCGTCCACTTTCCATGATAAACCCATGACAAAAACCCGGAAAATCAAACCGTGAAACATATTATAGCCCAGGGGCAGCCTATGATGGACCTGAAGATTTCCTGTTGGCGATTCCAGAACCGTGACTGTTATTGTAATTGTAATTGTAATGGTATAATAGCCTATTCTTTTATTTTATTGTTATTCTATTTTGTCTTATATTTTATATTCTGATTGTGATTTCCATTTTCGATGTGTCTTGATGGCATACGCTAAATAAATAACGTTGGAGAATTTATGGCATTGACATGTAGCATGACATCCGGTATGAGGCGTTTGATCGGATGATGACTGTTTTAATTGGTAAATCCAACGACTTGAACTTCTTAATTTGTTTGTCCCGGCTACATTAGATTCACTTCATTTTTGTCCCAGTCCTCTCTAGTTACAGCATTGTAAAGTGCGAGGTGGAGTCGTAGTAACCTCACACTTATTTGCTGCAGATCGTCGATGGTTTTGTGAATTCTTTCCCGTATCTGTCCTAATCAAAATTCTATGGGCCGCAGCAGAGTCGATATGGTGCTTTACCTTGAGGAAGGATGGCATTGCGCATGATGGTATTGGATATGAAGTGCTGGTGTGATGAAGGCTTTGGAGAGAATTAGTTGCTCCGGCTACTTGACCTGTGTGTGGACGATTTTTTGAGGGATAGGAATATGAAGGGTTTTTATTTGGTTGGAAGCAGGAGGGCATGTGAGATTTGTGAGAGGTAAGATATCCGGGATGATGAGAAGAATTGCAGTGATCGCAGGCAGGGTTTGAGGGGCGAGTGGAATGAAAAGAATAATTGTAGAAAACGTTACCGTTGCCTACACCATTATATGGAGCCAAAGTCTGAAGTGAGAGATCAAGAGATAACAGAATTGTGAAAGGATTACAGATCGTGTGAAAATGTGTTATGTGAACGTAGAATAGGCAGTCTGTACACGGAGCTATTGAAAAGGAATTAAACTGATTGGCAACTTCGGTCACTAACCAGTTACTGACTCAACAAGTGTCGTTTTATCAACTTCAGAAGACAGTTCCATCAATGATAAAAGCATCATGACATATTATATTAGAAGGAAAAGAATCAACTGAAGAATTTTCTGGATCCTCCAATACCTTAAGAGGAATTTTCACCACCGTTTCTTTGTTGCTGCAAAGAAAGTTATTTGGAACTGGTGAGATTAGTCTCAGAAACAGAATGCTAATATGAGGGAGTCTGTGGAAGTTGCGAAAGGGCTATTAATCACACTCACGTAAGAAAAGAAACTTTATAGTAGTATTTATTCAAAAATTCATAAATGTAACATAATCTGACAGAAACAAATCATTAGCTTTGACGTTAGTTGCAAAGTTGTTGAGTAGTACTGTGCGGCTGGTGAAAAATTGACATCAGCAATCTCTTGCGAGGTATAGTTCCTATATCCATCAACGGTGGGTGGAGGAATCTCTTCAGGCCTTTGTAGTAATCTTGAACATGAAGAATGCGTCATTGATGGGAATAAGGAGGGTGGAAGATCTGACAGCATACTTAGAAGGAACATTTTCAACGCTTCTGCTTTTGGATCTTTAGCAATGTTCTGCTCCTTGGTCGACGTTGTGGCCTTTTTCTTTTCAAATATAGTAGAAATGCCCACAGCATCGTTGTTCTTCTTTGTTATACGAGGTGCAATTACCTCGGACTGTTGTCCCCTATGCATTGATGAAGTTGAGTTGGCTGATGACGATGGCTGTGCTATTAGGGGGGGAAGGTGAAGGAGCTTCTTCTTTTTCCTGCACTTAATGCAGATTTCTGAAGGCTTCTCCAGTATCTTGATGTAAGGATCTGCAAATTGCAGTACGTCTGAAAGGAGTAGACACAATTAAAATTAAAATAAAGAACGTATCTGTCAATTTTACCCACGCAGTCTCTGTTTCACGTTTTTTTGAGTACCCAGGAAGCTTTTTCCTTTTCCGCCTCGAACAAAAGGTTGAGTTGTTGGTCATTCATCCTGCTGGATCAGTTGGAACTGAAAACAACTAGACGAACCCACATGCGAGTCGACTAATGACTGGTTATAAACTGATTTCTGTGTGATTACATAGGAAGTGACTCAAAGTAAACTAGAGTAGAAGCAGGAACATGTATTTGAATGAGTTAGATATGTTGTTTGAAACTGTGAGGAAGATTGGCAGGATACTGGAATTCGTTTGAAAGAATAGGGAGGATAAAGGGATTAAGAGAGTGGATAAGGTGGCTATGTCAGATGTCTTGGAAGGGGAGGTAAGAAGTGTATGTCTACAATAACAAGCAAGTTATGTATATGAAGGAGGTTGTAAGAGGTGTGAGGGATGGATGAGTGAAGTGGCCATGTCCAGCAAGGGTATTCAGTTAATGTCAGGGCATGATCCTGTTAGTGTGTTATCTTATGAGGTTGATGTTAACAAGTTCGAATGAAGTGTGTGTGTATGGAGTAGGCGAAAACAGTATATTCTCTTCCAAGTAGGTAAGGAGGAAGAGGGAGAGAAGGAAAGGGTGGGCAATAAAGCAATAATTCCGAAATGTAGCCTTTAATTTGGCTATTCATTTTGTTGTGTTTTTCTTCAGACGCCTTGCAATCCTCTCCGTTACACCTGAAACATAAGGGAGGCAAATAAAACCGATTGGTGCAGTTTTTAGCTTATCGTTAGTTGGTTGTTCCTCCGGTAGGGTATTGGATGTTTTTAGGTTATACTTATGTTAAAACGTCATTTCATTTCTAACGCAACCTGTATTACCGACCGGAATTATGTCAATTAAATTTAACACTTTCCTTTTTTTAATTTTTTAATAAATATGCCTATTTTGATTAATTATTTCAACATTTATCCCAAAATTTATTATAAACATTGCTTGAATAAAAAATAAATATTTGACTGTTAAGTTAATTTTTAAACGAGCCAATCAGAAAGAGCGCCGTAACAAGACGCCATCTTGGTGAAGAAGCCGTTAACTACCAATTGTGGTGTTGTCTTCGTTGGTTATTTTCGACATCTTAATAGGTAATAAATTTGTTCTTGTTGCTTTAAACGCTTTATAAATGGGTTTTCTTTAGAATCATGTCAAGTGTACATATTTCCATTGCTGTAAGAGCAGTGGATCCTGATACGGATCCCGATGACAATGAACCTGAAAGTGCTTGGTTGGTACAAGATAACGCAATTCATCTCATAGACAACACTGCAATTCCAAACAATGATTACCCCATGCACTTTGATCGCGTTTTCGATCGGAATGTTTCAAATGAAGTAGTTTACAACGATATAGTTGCACCGCTTATTTCTGACGTCACAAGAGGTTATAATGGGTCTCTTATGGTCTGTGGGCCTTCGTTTATTAGCAAACAATTCACGATGGAGGACATGTTTACGGACGCCGGACTGATCCCTAGAGCGATCGAGCAAATCTTCAAAATAGCCAGCAAAGAAAAAAAACGAGGAAACTTCATAATTCGATGCTCAAACATCATGCTTTATAAAGATAAAGTTTACGATTTGTTGAGATTTTCTGCAAAGGAGGTCAACATCGTCACCGTTGAGCATGGAAAAGTTACAATTGGGGCCAAAGAAGCTGTCGTTTCAACCAAAAATCAAGCTACGGATGTATTTCAACTTGGTTTGGTGAATAGAGATTTATACCAAGAAAATGGAACAATGGATGCCACCGTTTGTGATATGATATTTCGAATTGTAATGTTTAAAAAATTTTATAATAATTTGTTATTATTGGTTTTTTTTTTATTAGATAGTTGAACACACAGAAAAAGGCAAAGATAACAAACTCATCGTGCATTCAGGTTGCTTGAATATGGTTACTTTAGGAGGATCTGATGCTGGACCTAATCAACCAGGTACTTCTACATCTAATTCTGACGCACAGTAAGTCTTTTCAATTTGTTAAAATTTAGCAAAACAATTTATTGTTGTTACATATATGTTGATAATTACTTGTGTGAGCTCACCAAAGCAAGTTGTACGAAAACCAAACTTCAGAACATGTTAAAATAACATCATAGCAAGTGTTCGAAGTTATTTCCCACATTTTGTACATACAATTGGGCTAAACATACAAGCGTGGCCTTAATCATGGTGTTGGCAGATTGTCTCGGCAATAGCATGTACCGATTTCGCAATTCTTGCTCATTATACATTTCGGTGGTGTACATGATTGAGGTCGGGCGATAGGGGTGGGCAGGCGATTCAATCACCTCGACCTATCCATAGTCACCAGTTAATCAATTATCCAGAATGTAAGGGCCAATAAGTAGCCCATTCACAATTCCAGCCCATACATTCACAGAAAATCTTTGTTGAAAATGTGTTCGGTGAGTAATATGAGGATTCTGTACGGCCAATAATGCGTGTTGTGGACAATGTGAAAACAGTTACGTGTGAAAATCGCAAAATTGATTTACCTTTGATATAAGCATGTTGGTGCAAGTGTAAAGGAAACGCTTTAAGTACATTCTCTCTAATGTAATGTTCACATAGTCTTTCAAGCGTCTTTAAAAGAAATGATGGGAGACTAATTGGTCGAAAGGCTTTAGGATCCGTTGGGACCTTTTTTCCATTCTTTGGTATAAAGGTTACTGTAACCTTCCTCCAGCTTTAAAAACTCTCATCAAGTGTATTTTCATATCCTCTAAGACTCCATTGAAGAAGAGCAGGAAATATACCGTCGGGTCCTGGTGTTTTGAAGGGCTCAAAACTGCCGACGACCAACTCTACCAACTCATTCCATACAACCTGGTTAGCTATCTGCCAGTCCTGGCTGCTAGGAGAGTTGTTAAATTCCACTTGGTGTAGGAAGCATTGAAAAATCTTGCAAAGAACCTGGAAAATGAACATCCATTAGTAAATACAACGATTCTTCTGGATCCTTGGCAAAACTGCCATCAGAGTTTTTTAGAATGTCATAACTGTGTTTTTGGCCGCGAGATAGTATTTTGTTTAGGCGTGAGCCCTCAGCAACGCTCTCCACCTCTTCACAAAAACCTCTCCAGGCTTGTCGTTTCTTTTGTCGTACTAAACGTTTGAATTCTGACTGGTGTGTTTTGAACAAGGTCCAGTCAGATTCAGTCTAGTTTGTTTTGCTTTATTAAAAGCTTTTCTGCAAGTGACCCTCAGTGAATGTAGATCAGGAGTCCACCAAGGTGTGGTCCTTCCTCTCTCCTCCACAATTCTATCAGGACATGCACTGTGGAAAGCCTGAGTTAGTGTGTCACCCACGAGGTTTGAGTAATTCTTGCAATTGCTCATTTAGACAGCTTGTAAAAATGCTCAAGTCAGTCCGCTTTGGATCCCGGGCCCATCTATAGTCAGACATCTTTTAAGATACGTTCGCCGATGCCAAGTCAAATCAATAATCGTCTGACACCTAGCATTGACGAACGTAGGTTCACAGCCTTGCTTGATTATTTCCAAGTCATTACTCGTAATAAATTCAAGCAAGGTCTTACCTCTAAAGTTTCCTTCGTCACATCCCCAGGCAACAGAATGAGCGATGGAGTCGCATCCTACAATGAGTAGCCATTTATTTACCTTACTGGCGTTGACTAATGTTGTCAAGGCCGCAGTAGGAGCCATCTCTTCTATAGGCAGGTAGATAGATGCTAGAGTCAGCGTCGTTTTCTTCTTCGCTAGGAAGCATTGAATCCTGACTACAACGGAGTCCCGATTTGATTCTTCCGGCAGGAGATACGCGGAGATATGTTTAGGAACGTAGATTGCAGCTCTCGGAAACCAGAAACATTCGAGTTGATAGTCCATGGCTCTTGAATCAGAGCAATGGTGTTTTGCATCATGTCATAATACTGCAGTTGCAGCCCTGTCACGGTGCAAGTTGCATTGTATTACCTTTAATGTCGCAGGGTCCTCTCTAAACTCCTCTCTAGACATCTGGATTTGGGGAGCAGGTGGGAGTCATCAACATTGAGTCGGACAGATAAAAAATTTAACCTGTGCCAGGTTTCGCCCTTTCTGAGCCGGTGGTTTCACCAACCCGCTCAATGGTCATGGACGCAGAAACTGCCTCCAATCTAACCAAGGGAGAAACTGAGCTGGACTGCTCAGCCCCGATCATCTCGGTCTTGTTCGGTTCATCTTCCTCATTGATGAATATGTGTGAAAGTGAATATGGTACTAAGCAGAAAATTCAAGAACCATCTCCTTGATCCAGGTTTCACTAAGTGCTACGTTATCGAAATCCGAGGAAGCAACGAGTGTTCTGATAATATATACTATACTCTTTCCGTTGGGAGGTACCTAGTTTTTCTTCACTATAATAATAATAATAATAAACAAATTTTATTGCCATAAAAGAACAAAGGAAAATTGTACATTATTATAATTATCCTATATTAGCGGTAGTGTAATAAAAGAAAAAAAAAGCAAAGATGATTATAACAATGACAGTGACAGTGGAAAACAAATCATAAATTCAATTCTGACAAACGGAACGATTTATCGCCAAAGACGATATCTTCCAATCGACCCAGTCTAAACTATATTATAATGATACCACCAGATATACAGAATAGTAAGTAATTAACGCGGCCTTGTAAATACATAATCATCATCACGCATAATTTAAACCAAAAGCGAAAAAGAAAAAAAAAACAAACAAGAAAAAGGAGGGAAGAAAAGTGTAAGAAATGCACAGAGTAACAAAGCAGAAAAGAAAGAAGGTGAATAAGGAACATAGGAAAGAAAGTAGAAAAGGAAGTAAATTATTATAAGATCGCAATTTGACGGGAGAAGAAGAAATGTGTAAGACAAGTCTTGAAAGATGACAGGGTTGGAGCGTTTCTAATATCCATGGGGAGACCATTCCAGAGGGATACTATACACTATACGAGGACATCCGTTGGTGTATTGTATTTTTAGATCTTTTTCGCTATTATCAAGTCGACGTTTTAATTCAAGGAGTATATTAAACTTCTGAGAGTAACTCTCGATATCTACTCTCAACTCTGTGTGCACTTGAGACTGTTTTAGCTCTTCGAGAGCTTCTATAAAACTTCCGAGAGCTTTCTCTCAGACAGTTCTCTCAGGACCGTGTCCACTAGTGAAATGTGTCCGTGCTATGGAAAGTAAAATTTATTTTCTTTCAGTGCTTGGTGTTTATAAACATGGATGTAAACAAAATTGCAAGTGCAATAGTGTTGTACAAAATTTAAAAAAAAAACAAACTGAAAAAATAAAAAGAAGCTGTTGGGTGAAATCATGGATTTGGCGTAGATTAGAGCTGGGTGTCAACAAATATCAACATTTGTTGTCAAATTGTTAGTTATTTGGCATATTGGAGACATGCAGTCTCGCCTCATCTCATCCCACCAACGCATCCTCTTAAAGTTTTCTAATTTTTAACATTCCACACTTTTTAACGTCGCCATTTTTCATTTTTTATCTTCATTTTGTGTATCCATCAGATAGCAAAATACTTTATTCTTATCCGATTTCCAGTCTACACCTATTATAGCTTCATTGACTTTGTCGCTGATGATGGGGTAACCCGAAACTAGAACGATTTTAATAAATAAATGCAATTTTTATAAATAAATGCAAGTTAGAAGTTTTTACATGGTTTTTATTTTTTATAAGTTTATTGTCGTACACGTGATAGCTTAATAGTGGCTTGGCAGTATTTTGGAAAATTATTAGAAAATATAAACTTAAACTCCTCAATTGCTGAAAGAGACTAGATATTGCTGGCAGAAGACTAAGTACTACTAATGAAAGACTAGATGTTGCAAATGAAGCAGATTCTTCTTACAGAAGACTGCACACTACTACCAGAAGACGAAATTGTTGGTAGAAGACTAGATATTGCTGGCAGAAGACTAAGTATTGCTAGTGAAAAACTAGATATTGCAAATGAAGCACATCCTTCTTACAGAAGACTACACACTACTACTAAAAATCAAATACTTTTAGCAGAAGACTTAATTTTACTGTCAGAACACCAAATTATGTTGTCAGGAGTTACTCTTCTGTCCAATACTTGTTAAAATTGCATCCTTCGCTTGCCGATTTCTATGTTCATTAGATTTAAGTTTATTGCTACCAAATCAGCAATACATTCCATAAACAATTAAATTTTAACCATACTACAATTACATATATCACATTACAATACAATACATTTTATTTCCTATCCTACCCCTCCCCATCTCCTCCCCGCATCTCCCTACGCTGCCTAGTCGCCACCACCTCCCTCATCCATTCTCTTCCCTCTGCCCCCTCCCCCAGCACCTGCCCCCAGCCGATCACCTCCTCTCTTAGCTCGTCACACTCCCTCAGTAGGTGCTCCAACGACTCCCACTCCCCCCCACATAGCCTACAACCCCTCTCATCATCTCTCATCCAATACCTATTCGCTCTCTCCTCATTGCCGCATCTGAATCTTGCCACCATCCTCTTCCCCTCCTCATCCCCCTCCACCGACAGGTACTTCGGCAATCCCTCCGTTATTATTTCCTCGTACTTAGGGTTGTACCTGCTCTCCCTTATCTGCCCCCTTCTTTCTTGCCTCTGTACATCTCTATCCCTGCTCTCCAGCTCTTTCCACATCTCAATCCCTTCCCTCCTTCTATCATCTACCGCTTTCACTGAGTACCCCACCCTTCTGAAATATTCCTCCCTTCCTCGTTGCCCGTAACCCCCTTTCCCTGCCTTAATCTCTTTCCAGCACTCCCCCAAAATTTTACATTGAGACCTCCCTTCAACCCTCTCCTCAAAACGTACCGCCCTTTTACCCGCCTCCACTCTTAACTTATCAACCTTCACCTCTTCTCTGACTATGTACTCCGGCGTCTCTTTTGCCAACCCCAAAACCCATCTCCAATACCTAGCCTGTACGNACTGATCGGTCTAAAATCCCTT